GCACGCGCGCGCGCCGCTCCACCAATCGCCGAGCGCCAGCCCAGGTCCGCTGGCCAATGGAAGAACGCAACTCCACTACCAACCAATCGCGACCAGCGTGGCTAAGCTAGGCGCGTGCTCAAGCCCCACCTCCCAACGAGAAGACGTCGGGTTCGCCAAGGACGCGCGCCCGCCCCGCCCCTCTGCCAGGACACCCAATCGGTGGGCCTCCCTGTTCCCGCTGACCAATCAGCATGCCCCCGCTTCTTTCCCACCTACACCGGCAACCAACCCTGGCCCCGCCCCGCTCCCAAACCAAGAAACGCCCAGCGTTTGGCCCGTACCCAATCACGGGCCGGGACCCGCCCCCAACCGCGCGGCTTCCGCGCTCCGAATTGGCTGCACTGCGAGATCAATCAAATGGGGCAGCTGGGGCCCCAGGCCCTGCCCCCGGCATTCTACGGCCTAGGAACATGGTGGGAAAGGGGAAAATATCCCACAGTTCCCTGGGCCTCTAGCCCCTCCGTATTCCATAATCCCCAGGGGCCTCCGAGCCCCCCAACTTCCCAGTCTCCTTAGACCCTCATCCCGCAGTCCTCTAGGGCTCTGTGGGCTTCCCTGGTATCCCACAATCTCCCACTACCACCCCCATGTCCCACAATCCCTGAGCGCCCCGCCCCGGTCATCCAAGGCCTGAATGATTCCATATGCTGAGTGCATCAGGTGCGAGGGGGTGGATTCTATGGTTCCATTGGGGCGTTCTAGCTGCATGTGGGAGGTGTGAGAGACCAGTCTCTATGGTTCCAATGAGGACGCCTTAGCAGCACTTACTTGGTGGGTGTGGGACGACGGACTCTATGATTCTGACTGATCCTTGTTAGGTGAAATGTGCTTCATAAAATTCAGCTGAAGGTCTGAAAAATGTCACCCCAAATAATTACATTTGGGCAAAATTACAGGGAACCGAAAACGGTCTCATGGTGAGTGACCATAACTGCACTATCCGGATTCTCATTCACTGACCATTTTGAAATCAAGGACTGTTTTTCTGAACGACCAGCTGTAGAAAGTACTGAGGGGAACGTCTCCAGCCTGCACTGTACAGCACGGAGCACACTGGGGATCCACCCTGGTGGGTGTCCAGGCATCGTGAGGAGACACTAGGATAGAGCTCTGCAGTAGGTGGTGCTATTGATCCCTGCTGGCCTGGGGATCTAGGAGTGAGAGAATAGCTTGGAAACATGACAGGAGTGCCCCCTGCAGGCTCACAAGTACAGTCAGGCCTGAAAAGGCAGGCAAAAACAAGCAAAGAGGATTTTGTCTCAGTGGGAAAATTTTGATTTTCGGAAGATATTTGAATACTGAGAAATCTACCTATCCTCATGTCTACCCATCTAACCCCATATACTTCCCTCTATCCATCCATCTGTTCCCCTCACCACTGCTCTCTCTATCCAGCCCCATGACCACAAGGGTCCCTTTAGGCTTGCCCGCTTCCCAGGATTTCCAATAAGGTTCTCTAGCCCAGCATCCTGCCTTACAACAGTGGCCAGCACAGGAGGCCCCACAGGGTCCCAGCCTCTGGCACTAAGCAGCTTGGGGCTAGGCTGGCTCAGGAGAGATTTGGGATTGTGAGGTCTGGAGCCTGGATCTTTCCCAGCACCATGTTCAGATACCGCTCAGCTCAACACCACAACCTGCCACATGGGGCTGAGCTTCCCAGGGCAGAAGGATGGTAAATG